CTGGCCCTGGGCCGGAGCCTGGCTGCCAGGGAGCAGGATGCCCCAAGAGCTGCGGCTTCCTCACCCGCCAGCCTGGCCCCGTGCCTGGCCGAGCCAGAGCTCTGCCTCTCACCCCTGCAGGTGGTCACCGAGCCGCCCAACGGGCTCAAGCTGAACATGCGCGCCACCTACTTCAAGATCTCCCACGAGATGCTGGAACAGTGCCCGCACCCCGCCTTCAAGCCCCTGGTCTATGTGCTGGCCTTCTTCCACGCCGTGGTGCAGGAGCGGAGGAAGTTCGGCAAGGTCGGCTGGAACGTCTACTACGACTTCAATGAGTCCGACTTCCAGGTGCCTCCTCCTGCCTCGGCCTCCCAGAGTCACAGGGGTGCATCCCCGCCCCCAGCTTCTGCTCACTAAGCCCCCTGGGAAGGGCTGGGCTGGTCCGTCCTAGCCTCTTCTGCTCCTCTCCTTTAAGGTCTGCATGGAGATCCTGAACACGTACCTAACGAAAGCTTTCCAGCAACGCGACCCCCGGATCCCCTGGGGCAGCCTCAAGTACCTGATCGGAGAGGTAAGCGTGGCCTGGTGCCGAGCCTGTGGCACCCTGGCCCTGACGTTGACCTGATGGCTGGCCGTAGTGTCACCTGGGCGGGCCTTGGGCCACGCACCCCGGTGCTCGTGAGCTCCCAGGTCCCCACTGCCCTCACCTGCTGGACCGCAGGTCATGTACGGAGGACGCGCGATCGACAGCTTTGACCGCCGTGTCCTGACCACCTACATGGACGAGTACCTGGGGGACTTCCTCTTCGACACCTTCCAGCCCTTCCACTTCTTCCGGAACAGGGAGGTGGACTACAGGATCCCCCCCGGGGACGTCAAGGACAAATTTGTGGGTGAGAACAGGAGACCGGACCTTCCACCTCGTCTCCTGGGGTCCCTGGCTTCTCAGCCCTCTCTTGGGGTGGGGAGGGCCCTGGCTGGTCTAGCAGGGTCTGTCTGGCCCATTCTTAGCCTCAGGGCTGGGTGTTATTTCCAGTCCCCATTCCAGAGGGATGCTCAGCTGCCAGGCTCCGGCTGGAAGGGCACAGCAGCCACCGCAGGGCGCAGCCCAGCTATAGGCGTTTTGGGCTGGGTCGGGCTGGGTGTGGCGGGGTAGAATTTAGTTAAAAGCGGTCCACCTACTCAGGAGTGGAGATAATTCTGGGGTAGGACTGGGAAATTAGGCCTTGGGGGCTGTGGGCCTCAGGAGCCCAGGGCAGCTGTGGGGCAACCTGTTTGTTCCCTGTGGCTCAGAAGCCATCGAGGCCCTACCGCTGGCCAACACGCCAGAGGTGTTCGGCCTCCACCCCAACGCCGAGATCGGGTACTACACACAGGCGGCCCGGGACATGTGGAACCACCTGCTGGAGCTGCAGCCCCAGACCGGTGAGCCACGTGGAGGACGCGAGCCGTGGGGGAGGGTGGGTGCAGGTGCTGCTGCTGGCTCTGGGCGCCGGCCTACCTGCTCCCGCAGGGCCGGTGGCTTTGCGGGGCGCCCCCTCCTGCCCCGCCCAGCCTCGTTTCTCCTCCACATTTTCCGGTTCTAGGGGAATCCAGCAGCGGCATCAGCCGTGACGATTACATCAGCCAGGTGGCCAAGGACATAGAAAACAAGATGCCCAAGGTCTTTGACTTGGACCAGGTCCGGAAGCACCTGGGCCTGGGCCTCTCGCCCACCTCCGTGGTGCTGCTGCAGGAGCTGGCTCGCTTCAACAAGCTGGTGGTGCGCATGGGCAGGTCGCTGGCCGAGCTGCAGCGGGTGAGCACAGGGCCGGGCCCAACTGTCTGCGCTGGGTCCGCACGGCTCGGGCGGCTGATGGCTCTGGTCCTGCGACTAGGCCTTGGCTGGGGAGGTCGGCATGAGCAGCGAGCTGGACGACGTGGCCAGGTCTCTCTTCCTTGGGCTGATCCCTAACATCTGGAGAAAGCTGGCCCCGGACACCCTGAAGTCCCTGGGCAACTGGATGGTCTATTTCCTGCGGCGGTTCAGCCAGTACACGCAGTGGGTGAGTGATGGGGGTTCGAGAGGCGTCCAGGGTTCTGCCAGCCCCTGGGTCTCCGTCCGCGTCCTCTCTGGGGGGACTTCTCGGCACACCGTGTACGCTCCAGTCTAGGGGTGATCTCGAACAAGGGCTCAGGTCATTCCCTAGAGATCACAGCCTTTCTCTTAGGGGGGACGCCCAGGTGCTCACTGTGCTCTCTGCAGTCCGTGGGTGTGGCCGGGGTGTGCCCAGGGTGTCCCTCGGGTAAGGTGCAGTGCTGGGTGTGTGCACAGTCCCGTCCTGGGAGACCAGGACACCTGGGCAGGACCTGCCAACACACGCTCTTCCTGTCTCAGATCTTTGGTCTCTGATGGGTCTCTGACCTTCTGTACTTTTTCAGCTGTGCGGGAGCTGAGTGTGCTTTGCACCTTGCAGACGTTTCGTGTTTCTTTTTTCTGGTGCCTATTTATATCTTGGCTTCCAGTTTATTGACAGTGCCATCTTTCTCCTTTTTTCCCGTGGTACTGGGGACTGAACTCACAACCTTGCGCTTGACAGGCAGATGCTTGTGCCGCTGAGCTAGACGCCCTGCCTCTAATGTTTTTTGTTTTTTAAGTGCTTTCTGGGCTGCAGACATCATCACTATGGCTGTGATGTCACACGTACAGTGGAACCTCAGTTCATGCACTAAGTTCTTTCCACAATTCTGGCCAGAAACCAAATTGGACGCGAACCGAATTGCATCTCCCCGTCAGTTACCATCGAAGCTGCCCACCGAGTTTGATTCGGTTGGTGACCAATGCAGTTTGTGACCAGCACCTCGGAGGGGATGAGCACGTGCTCTGAGGTGCCCCCGAGTCACCCGGCTGGTCCTGACTGTTGCCTCTGCTCACAGTGTTTTATCCACAGAAAAGCTCTTGTTTTTTATGTAATCGAATGTGCCAGTCTTTTCTTTTGTGGCCCGAGGGCCTTGTGCTTCCTCCGGGAGTAAGATGAGGAAACTGCTGGCTGGAGATTGTGCTGCTGTGGTTTTCTCTTTAAATCTCCCCTCTGCCTGGATTTGGGGTGCAGCTTGCTCCCCCCAGAGGCTGGTGCTGGCCAGGCCATTGTCTTGGCCCCAGGATGAGGTCTGCCCTTGCCGTCCATGCAGGTCACTGAGGGCGAGCCCAGCGTCATGTGGCTCTCGGGGCTGCACATCCCGGAATCCTACCTCACTGCGCTGGTGCAGGCCACCTGCCGGAGGAACGGCTGGCCGCTGGACCGGTCCACCTTGTTCACGCAGGTGACCAAGTTCCAAGACGCAGATGAAGTCAACGAGCGGGCGGGACAAGGTACCGCCAGCCCTTCGGGACTCCTACCTGTCTTGGGTCCCTCTCCAGAGCCATCCCCAGCCTAAAGGGACCAGCGTAGAGTGACCAGGATGGGCCACTTCCTGGGGAGAAGCTGGACCACAGCCAACACCTGTCTGCACGCCGCCCTGCCTTCCCCAGAGACCTGGGGTTGAGGTCAAGGGACCCGGACCATGTCACTCTGCTGGTTTGTGGGACGTGGGCCACCAGGGGTCCCCTTAGGACACAGGGTGGCCTGCGGCATGGACCAGCCTTATTGGTGACACTGATGACTTCATGACTTCAGGTCTCTAGGACACTGGCTCCTGCAGCCTCAGTCAGAGGCCACTTAACCAGGAGGTTTAGGAGGGAGCCTGTGGCAGCTTAAGGGGAGGGTGTTTGGGGTGAGGGTGTGGAGATGCAGCAGCCCAACGGGGTCCCTCGCGCTGGCCGGTGTCCGGCTGCCATGCACTCTGGGCACCTGTGGCCCCTCTGTGGGAACTCAAGGCCTTGCCACCTGCTCCTGGACTCTGGCCCTCGGGTGACCTTGTGTTTGAAGCCCAAGTGCTGGGCTCCAGGGTGGAGGGCTCTGTGGGGACAGCCGGCCTGCGGGGAGTGGGGGGAGCCCAGGCTGGGTTCCGGCACCTGTTCTGGGTATGCATCTGCCCGGCCTCTCCTGCCTTTCCAGGGTGCTTTGTCTCTGGACTGTACCTGGAAGGCGCTGACTGGGACATTGAAGCAGGCTGTCTGGTCAAGAGCAAGCCCAAGGTCCTGGTGGTGGACCTGCCCATCCTGAAGATCATCCCCATCGAAGCCCACCGCCTGAAGCTGCAGGTGAGGCCGGCTTCCTGGCCGGGAGCATTCCCCAGCCTGGGGGCAGTGGGGTGTATTCCCGCCTTCTTAGTGGGGCACTCAGCCCTGGGGTGGGAGCCTGCATGGAGACCCAGGGATGGTGGAGCCACAGTGGTGACCTGCGGTGTGGACGGCAGGCCCCCTGGGCCTTGCCTTGGCTGGGCGCACGGTGATCAGGTAGGCATGTGCCCGGCAGAGACTGCCGCGTGGTCTCCGATGCCCCCCTCCCCATCTGTCCCCGCAGAACACCTTCCGGACACCCGTCTACACCACCTCCCTGCGCAGGAACGCCATGGGGGTCGGCTTGGTCTTCGAGGCGGACCTCTTCACCACCAAGCACATTTCCCACTGGGTGCTCCAGGGCGTGTGCCTCACCCTGAATTCCGACTGAGCAAGGGACAGTGTGGGTCGGGCGCAGGGCTGGGGCACTGAGGGAGCCCAGCTTGGCGAGGACCTCCCTGTCTGGGGAAGCCGCCTCTGAGTCCTAGTAGTGGCTCTTGAACTACTTTTTAAAGGATTTTGTGTTAAAAATTTAGGGTGTGTTGTGCTTTCCTTTGCTGGGGTGTCCAGGGCGCATTTGACCAGGGAGTACTGCCGATGCAGGGTGCCCGGGCCAGGCTGTGCCCGCAGAGCCCTTGGCGCAGGAGTCCACTCAGGAGGCCGAGGCGGGTGGGTGGCAGGGGCGGCCGCGGTCTCCGAAGCGCTCCCCCGCGGCCAGCCGGGGCTGGGGTGCGGGCCCTGGACGGCTGGGCTGCTGTCCCCCGTCCCTCCCCACCGCCCCCCTCCCCGGGGTGAATGAAGGACACAGAGCCGGAGGCAGGTTTAGAAAATAAAGTTTGTTGGGATCTTGAACATTTGGATGAACCTAACAAAAAGCTATGAAGACACGTTCAGGCTTAGGCGCTGTCTTTCTTCGATCCGTGAGGCGCGGGCAGGCAGACAGTGCTGGGGGGCCACCCGCCCCGAGAGCTGCGATGGACGGACACGCAGGAGGTCAGCGCGGTGGCGGTGGTGGCAGATGCGTGTTTGCAGCGGGGCAAGGAGCGGCGGGCGGGCGAGAACACAGCTCGGCATGCACGGGACGGCGTGGGCGAGGCTCCGCGGGTCACAGTGCGTGGACAGCTGCGGTGCGCGTCACACAGTTCTGTCCGCCCCTGAGTGCTTCCGGGCCACCTTGCCTGCGTTCACCTGGTCCACCAGCAGCGTCTCCACCTCGGGCGGCCCCTGTGGCGGGCTGGCGTGGCGGATGCGGTGCGCCACGCCCACGTGTGCGCGGTGTGGCTTTTCGCGCGCAGGGCTGAGCTGGCCACCCGAAGCCCCCGCGCGGTCCGAGGCGATGGGTGGGATGACAAGCGGCCGCTCCTTGACCAGCTGGACCTCAGCCGCCTCGCGGGCCAGCAGGAACGGGGTGGGATCGGGCATGGCGTCCACGGGCTCGCGCAGCAGCAGCTTGCGGCTCTCGGCCCCGAACCTGTAGACCTCCTCGAACTCGGGGTGCAGCGGGGCTGACAGGCTCTTCTTCATGCGGCGGCGCGGCGTCTCGGGCAGCTTGTCCTTGGGCGGCGCCGGCTTGTAGCTGGCCAGCGCGGGCCCCCCGGCCGGGCTGGCGTCCGCGGGCCCGCCGGCGCCCAGCAGCTTCTTCTTGGCGGCGTGCAGCTGCGCCGTGAGGTAGGCCACTGTGCCGGCGCGCTGCTCCAGCTCGCCCGACAGCAGGCTCAGCCGGTGGCTCTTCACCTTGAGCTCCTCCAGGTACTTGCGCTCGCGCTCGCGCACCGTGTTCTCCAGCACGGCGATCACCGCGTTCTTCTGCTCCAGCTCGCGCAGCAGCTCGCCGTTCTCGCCCTCCTTGGCGCGCAGCTGGGCCTCCAGCTCTTCGCAGCGCCGCTGCAGCTCGGCGCTCCGGGAGGCCGCGTCCCCTGCAGGCGGGCGAGCGGGCGGGCGGGCGCGCGGTTAGGGGTGCCGGGAAGGAGCGCCCACGTGGCCCCCTAGAACCCGGGGGCAGTGGCCCAACCGCGACCCGCTGAAAGGGTAACTAGTGGGCTCCAGGTCGCCAGGAAGAGGCCCTGGGGCCGGGGCTGGGTTCCTTCCTTGGGCTTCCCTGAGACCCAGAGGAAGCAGATCAGTGACCCCAGCAGGACTGAGAGCCCACTCTGCACCCCAGGCTCTGAGATGTGTAAGGCCCCACATCAGGTCCTGACTGCGGAAGGGAGGCCTGTTAACTGCAGAATAACCAGAAAACCCAGGCGAGTGTATAGCAGACACCCTAAAATGTGCCCCTGAAAGGGAAACTCAGTCACCAGTCCCCAGACCGCCCCCCCCATCTCCTCCTCTGCTAGAAAGCCCCAGGAGTGTGGCTGGGGATGAGGAGGGAAGCCCCACGCCTCTCGGGAGAGCCGGGTCCCTATCAGCTCTCAGGAAGAGGGTCTTACCTGGCTGTTCACAGCTCTTGAGTGTCAGCTCGTATGTTAAATCTAAAAAGGAAATTTCACACATCAATGCCAGCACGGTGCACTTCAAACCCCTCCTCAGCCTGGAGCTCGCAGGATGGGGCCCGGGGTCCGTAGCCTGGGATGAGCCTGGCCAGAAGGGCAGCAGCACGTAAGGTGGGTGGGCCTGAGTGGCTGTCACACAGGCTGCACTGGAGCCACTCGGCTTCAACCTCATGTCCCAGCTTCCCGAGCAAAGGCCCTGTGGCTCTCAGTGTTCTGCGGTGTGGGTGAGGGAGGTGCTAGCGGGCTCAGGTGAGGATGGGGTGGCACAAGTGGCACCATGGGGAGTGGGCTCAGCTCCCGGGTTTTGTGTGTGTGTGTGTGTGTGTGTGGTAGCAGGGACTACATTCAGGGCTCTGCACTGGGTGACATCTCCAGTCCTTTTTTTAATTTTGAGACCAGACCTTGCTAAGCCACTAGGTCACGTTCACCTTCCTGCCTCGGCCTCTCTAGGTGCTGGGCTGACAGGTGTGCCCACCCACTTGCCCGCCCGCCCGCACCTGTGCAGTGCTGCTGCAGCCGCCTGATCTCAGCATGCAGCCCCCTGAGCGTGCTGGCGTGCTCCCGCTGCAGGAACAGCAGGTTCTTCTGTGCACTGTGCAGCTGGTTCTCCAGGTTCGTGGTGGCCATGCTGACATCCAGGTGACCTGCGGGAAGCAGACCCTGCTCACCGTCCCTGGTCACAGGGCTGGGGAGGGGCAGGAGGCAGGGCCCAAGGTGGGCAACGGAGGCCTCTGTGGGCTCCCAGGCACCAGCCCTGGCACAGGTGCTGGTGCAGCTGGTACTAGGGCCCAGGTTGCCTTGTGCTCCCGGGGAGGAAGCATTATGGAGGCGGTAACAGTGGTGTGCGCGGAGCAAGGATTCAAACCCAGGACCCGGCTTCCAAGCCCACCCAGTCCACATGCCACGTAACTCAGTGGGGAGGTACGTCCCAAGTCCACTGAGGCCCCCAAACACTGACTGAGCCCACATAGAGAACCTGGTGCCCAGCTCCCCAGGCTGGCACCTGGCTGGCCAGAGGCAAGAGGAGCTCAGCAGGGTGGGGATGACAGCTGTGCTGGGCCAGGGTTGGTCCTGGACAAGCCCTGTTCTTACCCGAACCCCAGCCCGGCACGGGCATAACGCTGGTTCCCCTTGGATCCTGTCTTCATATCCACTTATGTGAGCCTGGTCCTGCCCATGCAGCCTCCCCACACTGACCATGGCTGCCTGTCCTGTCTTGATGCCTGCCTTCCATTCCCACACAGCAGCCATCGGGATTTTTATGCAAAACCACCAGAGATCCTGCAGCTCTGAGAGCAGTGCGGTCACAGCCCTGCCCCTGCACGGTGGCTCCTTCCAGTGCCCGTCGGGTCCTGCTCTCTGCCTCAAGGCCTCCAGGCTGCCCAGGATGCCTGCTCTGCCACTCCTAGGACCCTCTTGGCCGATCTGCCTTTCCCCAGGAACCCATGGCCTGTCCACAGCTCCTGGAGGGGGGTGGCCTGCTGGAGTCCTCCGCCAGCCCACACTGACCGCAGGCACCAGGCACACAGGAGGCGGGCATCGACGGTGAAGCTCAGTGCCCAGGAGCTGGGTTTCTACTCAGCTATCTCCCGGCTTGCCTCGCTCAGAGAGAGTGGGTCACCAGACACCTGTAAGATGTCAATCTCGGCCAGCCGGTGGTGCAGAACGGGGTTCAACTATGTGGACAAGGATGCCCATGGGACTGAGAAGAAGAGTGGCGCTTTCCGAGCTGGTCAGCTGGACGGGGGAGCTGAGCCTTCCTGTGCTCAGGTGGTGGCAACGTTCGTGGCTTTAATCCTGAGGTTTGGCTCTGTGCTGTCGCTGGGATGGCTGTAAGCCTCCATACACAAAAGCCCGCGGGGCCAGGGTGCACCCCATGAGGCCACAGACACACTGCTGGGGTGCGGAAAGTGGAGGAGGCGCGAGCAGGTCCTCGAGGCCCGATTCAGTGTTGGCAATGCTCGAGGAGCCAGAGACGAGAAGGGGTACAGGAAGGGTGCTGCTGAGAGTCGCCCTTCTCAGATGGGCAATGTGGCCACTGCACCCTGGCTGGCCAATGCCAGCGGCGGAGGGCAATGGTCCCAAGTGCGCCCTGCAGAGCGCCACCCTCTCTGAGTTGAGGCCTCGGCTGTCCGCATCACTGGCCTCCCATGTCACCAGCAGCAATTCAGCAGTTTGTGCTGTGCTAGGGCAGCATGCAGTGGACACTGGTCTTCATGTCCTCAGCTGTTCAGGGCCAGTGACAGGCTCTGGAGTGAGTGGACTGCACGTGGCCCTGTGGCCTCACTTCCCAGTGTACTGTGGCTGGAAAGGGAGCCGTGGACGCGTGTTCTGCCTCACGGAGCCGGTATCACTGGAACCCGGGGCCTCATGCATGCTGGGGTCTTCTTCCCCAAGGGGAACTCAGCAGGCGTTAAATAAATGTCTCAATCTAGGGCTCTGCACTTTGAAGAGACCTGAACAGGCGTCCTACCCCACGTCCTGCAGGAAGCCTCTCCTCCCGAAGGCGGCCTCCAGCCCCGCCAGCCAGGACTCCCCTCTAGTGGGGGCCCCAAAACGAAGGGCCCACCCCACCTCACGGTCTGCCCTGCCTGTCACCTGTGCCCACCAGGCTGGAGCACCTGCGATCACAGGTCTCACCAGGCACCGCCCAGGGCACACACGCAGATCGCAGGCCCGGCAACGCCACTCGGGGAGCAGCCTGCCCTTACCGAGCACACCTGCTCGGCCCCCTGAGCAGGCAGTCCACACCCTGCACTGCTCAGGGAAGGAACCTCGTGCCTCTCGGCCCAGACAGGACTGTGCTCTCCGGCCAAGCGCAAGGCCAGGCTCTGGGCGGCCCTGGAACAGCCCTGCTGTGTGGAACTGGGAGCCTACCAGGAGCGCGCCCAGGCCCTGCAGCCACCCCTTCCAGCCAGCAGGGCCTCGGGGTGAAGGTGGGGCTGGGGGTCTTGAGCACCTGCGCAGAGCAGGCCAGCCCGGGAGGAGGAGCAAGCCCCGCAGCCCGGAATGTCCTGGCCTGGGATCCTAGCAGGTGCCTGTCCAGGGCCAGGCCAGGACGGTGCCCCTGGGTGGAAAGGGGCACTCGATTGGACCATGTGCAGCCAGAAACCTTTCTAGAGCCAGGCAGGAGCAGCCTAGGCCATGCGCGTCCTCCCCCTTTTCAGAATGTCCCCTCCTCCAGCACCTGTGCATGTGCACACGTGGTCACGGGAGGACAGCCCCGGCACAGAGGCCCCAGTCACCACTGGGTGCCGAGCTTCACCCCGGCTCTCTGTCAGCTCTGCGCTCCTCAGCACCCGTGTCCTCGCCCTGCACCCCCGCCCTGTCCAGCACAGACCCTGTGCACGTGCACTGTGTTCCTGCTGTGGGGCCGACGGGCCCTGTCCTTCCCTCACATCTCAGCCGCACTTCAGCAGGTGCTTGGTGACCTCACCCTGCTCCACAGCGGCCGAGAGCTGCTACTACCCACGTTACCCACAGAGCGCTGCGGCAGCAGCACCGATCAGGGCACCGCCTCACCCCAGGATTTCTCCGCAGCCACATGGCATTTTAAAGCAGCCACCCTTCTCAGACTGAAAGAGACCGCGTGCTTTGGGTGGGAAAGCGACTGGCCACTTAGCCGTGGCGCATCCTCCCTTCCTGGACTCTCCACAGCAGGCCCAGGTTTTCGTGAACACAAAGCTGGCGTGGAAATAAGGGGATAACTGCAGACTCTGAGAACAGCACCCCAGGCTCCAGGTGGATGTGGCGAGTGCGCTCTAACGAGCTATTTTAGGCTGCAGCCATTAATAAGTCATGGCCCACTTGCTCGGCTCTCTCCCTGGGCAGTGATGGGTGTGCTGGAGCCCGGCTTCTGCAGTGCCCTGTCCCGTCCCCAGGGTCCCTGGCCCTCCTGCTGCAGCTTCTCTGCGCTGGGGCTCGGGCCGATTCACGCTTTTTGAGGGGGAAGTTTCTGTACTGCTCCAGTGTCCTACAGCTTGAGCACTGCCATCAAGAAAAATGGATGCTGCTGGGTATGGCACCAGTTAGCTGCCTGGAATCCCAGCAGTTGGGAGGCTGAGGCAGGAGGACTGCCAGGTGCTTGAAGGCAGCCTGGGTTATACACAGCTGGTGCAGGCCAGCCTGAACTGCACAGCAAGACCCTGTCTAAAAAGGAAGCCGTTGAGAGGCCAGAGGTGGCCACTGATGAAATGTGCAGGAAGGGAGACGCCCCCAGGGAGTGGTGCCCAAGTGACACGTGGGGCCAGGAGCAGAGGCCGGAAGAAGCTGCGTGTCAGCTCTCCACGACCGTCTCAGGAGGGAGACACCGAGGCCCAGCTGGGTCAGGGTGCACACCTGTCCTCCAGCCCCGAAGCCTGAGGCAGCAGGCCGACTGTCAAGTTCAAGGCCAGTGGGGTTTACACAGTGGGGCCCTGTCTCCAAAGATCAATGATCAGCAGAGGCCCGACAGTCTTTTAACACAATGAACAGAAGAAAGCAGAGCGGGTGAACTTGGCGGAGGGGGCTCTGCTCCGGGCTGGGGTCCTGGCGCAGTCATGGACAGGGCTGTGTGAAGCCCTAAACCCCACCGGCCCGCGCCTGGTGTGCGGCAGGTGCATCACTAGTGCTGCCCAGCGCCTCTGTGGCCCAGGGGCTGCCCGGCCTCACTCACTTCCTGAACACCGTCTCAGTAGGGAAAGGAGCTGGCAAAGAAACCACTGCCTCTGGAGAGAAAGACACACAAGGACAGAAGCACCTCCGGCCAGCTGTGGCCGGGGCTCCCCTGGGGAGCAGCCACTCCGGGAGGCACACGGAGACGGCCAGCGGGCCAGGGGGTCCTGAGGACAGGAAAGCCTACTTCTTCCTCTGACCCGGGGAAGATCGTCGGCCAGGGGCTGAGCAGTTCCCCCCCCCCCCGAACCCCAGACACCTGCTTGTGGCAGGGAGCGTCCACGTGTGCAGAGGCCCCAGGTGCTGTTCTGACCTCCTGCCAGCCTGCACTGTCGGAACCCGCAGGCGGCTCCTGTTCCTCCTGGTGCCCATGGAGAAATGTAACTAGGAAGTGACTTGAGACTCTCAACAGCGAGGGCTGTGAGAAAAGAGACGTCATTTCAAGGACAGGCACGCACTAGACGACTCCGGAGCTGTTTCGGTAAGAGTGACCGCCACTGTGATGTGGACGCACACATAGAGAGGGGAGGTGCGACCTTTCCTCCCAGAGGCAAAAGCAAGCTCTCCTGTACAGACCACTGTGAGCATCAGGGCGCGTGTGCACACACGTGTGTGTGTCCTTGGGCCTGTGCTCTCACGGCCGACCAGTCCAGCTCACACTGGGTGTGGGAGCCGGATCTCAGCCCGGGCCCTGGCCACCGTGCAGCCCCAGCTCCGAGGGCAGCGCCCTTTGCTCGCTAGCTCCAGGCCGATGCCACGGAGAAGAGGTGCCTACGAACACGCCCTGCTGCACGCTCGTGGTGACCAAACCCAGGGGACACTCACCCAGAGGCAGGAACCTGGGGAGGCGAGGCTCCGGGGGGCACCCTCTTCTCTGGCCAGGTGGCGGCATCTTACAGTGTCTAGAAGGGAACGGAGGGGCCAGGACACAGCTCAGCACACGGGGCCCCCCTGGCAAGCACCAGGTCCGGAGTTTGATGGCCGGTACCAA